CCTCCCTAGCAGTGGGATCCCAAGTCAGGCCACCTGCCTGGCTGAGTTCAATCAAACCATAGACGGTGGGACACAGGAGATCCCAGCCCTTGTGGACAGCCCCCAGCCAGCACGGTGGAGCCTGTGTACGCAGGAGATCTCCATTTTACATGTCAAGGGTGCGCATGGAGTCCTGAAGCAGTCAGGACTGGAAAGGCTTAGATGTGGGTGAGCATACCACTCAGCCTGGCGGGGAGGGTCTTTGCTCAGAGTTCCTCTGAAACACCTAGCAGAAACAGACAAGGGCTACTCTCACAAGGTGAAGAGCAAACTTGGTCTGAGTGTGTTGGACTGACATTGCAGCACTCAAGAGTTCAAAGGAAAGGCGTCCTCAGGAGTGAGTTGGAGGTCATCTTCCTGTCTTTTCTCATTTCTACCCTCACCTCTAAACGTTGTATAACACAACGAGGTCTTCTGATCTGCAGGCCATTTGAATTTATTCTCCCATTTCACAGCGAGGCAAACTGAGGCCTTGAAACCTGATGCCAGTTGTCCACAGTGACCCTCATCCCGGGCTTCTTGGTTGCTATGGTCTCCAGAAGCTGAGTCAGAGAGCTCTCCCTCCCGCCTGCTCCAAGGTCCTAGAAGGGAGGCAGTGACCCTGGGTTTTTACTAAAACTGTCATGTCTGAGTGCCCATCGCAGGCGTGGGTCCCCGGGCGGCCGCGGGTCAGTGCTTGGCCGCTCTCCCCCACCTGCTGGAGCACCGGCGTGGCTGCGTGCGTGTGAACTGGGAAGCAGCCGAGTGCAGCGCGGAGGCCGGAGGCTGGTGAATAATTCATCCTGAGAAGTTGATAGGGCTCCCTAGCACTGCCCCAGCCCCAGCCGGGCCGCGCCTCCCGCCCAAACCAGCCGGACCTGCTCTCCCGCTCCGCCCCGCAGCCCCCTCCCACCAGCCAGGGCCCAGACTGGGAGCTTCGGCTCACACCGCACGAGAGAGGGCTACTGGGCAGAGATGGCCCTGCAGACCCCGGTACTGTCCCCGGCCACAGCCACACCCATGTAAGTGTCCGGGGTGGGAACGGATGGGCCGAGTGGAAAGGCTGGGGGGTGGGCGCCGGCCTAGCCTGGGAGCCCCAGCTGGCCTCTCCTAAGGGAGCCTCGGGGAGAACGTGGAGTGGCCAAACCTGGGGCTCCTTGAGAGCCACTTCCCCCAGAGAGCTGGGCCTGCTGCAAAGTTAGGGGGCAGAGAATGTCGGGGTACACGAGTGTGCCACCAAACCCCCAAGTTTGCAGAGTGAGCGAGAATGCTGGAGTCCAGGAAGGAAGGAAGCGAGCGCTCCAGCTTCCAAAGACTGGCAAAGTCGCAGCCAGGCAGTAGCCACCTCTCTGCGCCTTTGGTACTGAGCAGGTTGTGGCTGGGGCGCGACGACCGCGGAGTTGGAGATGAGCAATGTGGAGGAAGGTACGGGGAGCTCGCCTTAGCTGAGGGCTTTTCAGAAGAGAGAAGCTGGGTTCAGTCGCCGGCTCCTGCCTAGTGTGCGTCTGGTTCCATCCCTAGCAGGGAGCGGGGTGACTAGGGGCTCCAAGGGATTATAGAAACTTCCAGAAAGAGGCTTCCCTCCACTAGGGACCCCAATTCTGTCCTTCACTCTCCTGTGCCCTCCATTGCATTATTTACCGAGTACAAACCTGGTTGCTTAGCAACGGGAACCCGATCCCCCCCCCCGCCCAAGGAAGAGTTAGCGAGATAGCATCTTAGGAGTGGGACTGCCGAGGGGACTTCAGCCCTCCCCCAGGGACACCTGACAGGCGACCTTCAGCCCCTGCCCCAGCGGAAGTCCTCACCTCTAAGTGGGTCTCTGGAGGCCCTGAACCCCAAACTGTGTGTTGCCAGCACCAAAGGAGAAGTGCTTCACATTTGCCTTCCCGACTTTGGACAAGTCTTGTGCTGTGTGTGTCTGTGTACATGACTGTGTGAGTGTGTGTGGTTGCATTGTGTGAGTGCATCTTGTGTGAGTGTATGTGTGTAAGAATGTGTGTGCATATGAGAGTGTGTGCAAGAGTGTGAGAGTATGTGTATGTGTGCATGTTTGTGTGTGTGCATGTTTGACTATGTGAGTGTATGTGTAAGAGTGTGTGTGTGTACAAGGTTGTGAGAGTAAGGGTATGTGTGCATGTTTGCACATGTGTGTGGACAGAGGACAACCTTGTGTGGTCTTTGACTCACTTGTTTGAGACAGGCTTTTGTTCCTGCTGCAGCGTACACCAGGCTATCCTGCTGCAGCAGAGCTAAGAGCACAGGTTTAAGCTGGTTCTGAGCATCAGCTCACTGGGCATTGTCCCCAGCCTTGGACAAGTCCTTTTGCTACCCCTGAGAGGCTCAGTTTCCCCTTTGGTAAACGGGACCGTCGCACTGTTTGCCTCATAGGATCACGGGGAAGATTAAGTGTTTCTACAGATAGGGCTTTTCAAAGCCCGACAGGCACGTGGCTGTGGCTACTTTGGCCGGGTCTGTTCTTAGCTGGAATGTCAGCTGGGAGAGTGGACTGCAGCCAGCCAGTGGTGGGGGTGGAGCCTGAGCGAGGTGGTTGTGGTTCAGCGGAAGCCCTGCAGGGCACTTAGGACACTATAAATAGCACTGTTATGTCTTCAGGGTGTGGCGGGAGGATCTGAGGGGACTTGGCTGGAATGTGGACAGCGGTGTTGGGATTCTCTCCCCGATGTGTTAGGATTTAAATTAATAAACACTAAGATCTTTGTGCCCACCCTGTCTGGCATGGAGGAAGACAGGCTGGGAGATCCCTTTTCTGCCCCTTGGCTGAAGTGGGGCTAACACAGCCCCACACCTGTGCTGCTCAGTGACCATGTTATTTTGACAATGCCTGCCCCTGAATGAAGATCCAGGGACCCCCTGGGGGTGGGGAGCAGGATGCTGACACATTCCAGTTAGAACAAGGGTGGGGAAAGATCAGGTTAAACCATAAACCTCAAATCCCCCTCCTTGAAGCTCAAAGTCCACAGCTAGGCAGGATGGCCCAGTGACCCTTGCCCCCAGCAGGAAGGGGGTAGACAAGTGAAAAGGAGACAGCCTGGGAGTTACCATGGTAACGGTTTAATGGTCACTTCTCTCCCCCACATTCCCTCATACCGCACACCCTGGTACTTAAGGGTGGGAGCTAAGGTTCAGAGAAGGCGTGTGACTAGCAAGAGACACACAGCATATTTGGAGCCCGGCAGAACTTGAGAGTCTGTGGGAGCCTGTAAGAATAGTTATTACAGCTGAGAATAAATTGTATTAAGTGTGGAAATTGCTTAGATTGCTCTCTTGCGCGATTGGGGTCATGCTACCCCTGCTCGTTTCACAGCTGAGACTGAGACTGAGAAAGATGGTGTGAAACCCTCCTTTAGCTTCATGGTCGTGGCCTCGCATTCCCACACTCCAGTCATTTCCCAGGCTCTTCCCTGGTGGAGAGGGGGAAACAGAGGCACTGGGCTCTCTCTTGGCAGCCCAGGGTTCTTAATTAGGAAAGGACCTTTAGGAGCTCGCCTGCTGAGGGACGGGGTCCCTAGGAAACGCCCCCTCATCTCCCCGTTCCCCACGCAGGGTCATGGCGGAGAGCGCCCTCTATCGGCAGCGACTGGAGGTCATCGCTGTAAGTGTCACACTCCCAGAACCCTGAGAATCCCAAGACTTGTGCAGGCTTCCTCTTGCCCTGCTCCTTCGGAGTAGGGAATGTTTACCCCATAGGGAGCGAGTCCGGATCTGTGAAGAATTGAGCTGCACGTTCCCATTCTGTCCAGGACACGCCTCTGGCAGTTCCTGTGTCTGGTCCCTGTCCCTGGCTGAATGGAGGGTGTCATTTGGGACGCCCAGAAACACCTCCTCCGAAGCCACTCACACTCCTCACCTCTTAGACCTCCATATATCGCACCCCACCTTTGGAGTCCTCCTTAGGGAACTCCCCGCACCCTCTGCGCGCGGTCCCTTCCGTCCTCTCCCTCCGTGACGCTAATCTACCTGTGCGCCTCCTACCTCAACTCTGCCCCTTGCACCCGTTCCTCACTAGCCTGTTTCTGGACCTCAGTTCTCTGCACCCTCATTTTTGCACTCCGTATTTCTGCACCCCACATTTCAGAACCCTTTCTAAAACCTATTTCTATATCTCATCCCTGAACCCTGACCTCTAAACTGTGTCTCTGCACCCTCGTTTCCCTGACGCCGGCCTTTGTGCTCCATTTCCCTGGCTTCCACTCGGCACTCCATCTTTCTGTACTTCATCTCAGACTTCTACCTCTTAGCACCCCAACTCTCTGTAGCCCACTTCTGCACCTCAACCCTGGAGCCCCTCTGTACCCCAAGTCTCTGGTCACCTGTGTACCCTCCGTTTTTCTAATCCTTCCTTTTGTATTCCACCTTACTGACTTTCCCCACCTCATCCACCCCCATTTTTCTGGACCCGACTCCTCAGCACCCCAACTTTAAGTGGCTCACTTGGGTGCTTTGCACTGTCACCTCATTCATGTCTCTGCACACCTCTGCACCCCGATTTACCGCATTTCCATCTTTGTACCCTATCTCTGCCCCCTCCTCTATCTACGCCTGAGTCTCTCTGGATGTCTACCTCTGCACCCCCATTTTGACCTCCATCTCACTAGCACGTTCCCTACATCTAGACCCACATGTCTTTGAACCCTTTCATCCCCCTTTTAAAGAATTTTTTGTCGCAGGGTCTCTGGGGCCCAAAGTAGCCTCCAAGTTACTACTACTCCCTTTGTAGTCCAGGAGGGCATGGAACTCAGGGAGACCATCCTACTCCTGCCTCCTGAGTCTTGGGGCTACAAACGTGTGCACCTCGTCTGGCCATCCTCCCCATCCCAGAGGTCCAAAACCCTAGTCCCCATTCCTAAGCCCCGCCCCACGCCCCCATCTTCCGACCACCATTGGGCGTGGGCCCGGCCTCCGCAGCATCAGGGCGCGGCCGCCTGGTCCCGCCCCGCCCCGCCCCTCCCGCTGCTGAGTCAGCGCTCTGCGGCCCCCGCCCGCGGGAGGACGCCCCGGGAGCCCCGGGAGCCCCGAGGAGGCGGGCGGAGGCGGGCAAACGGCGGCACCGGGCCGCCCGCAGCTCTGGGACGTGTGTGCGCAGGAGAAGCGGCGGCTGCAGGAGGAGATCGGCGCTGCGCGTCGCGAGCTGGAGGAAGAGAAACTCCGCGTGGAGCGGCTCAAGGTTGGCGACTCCCGTCCAGCCCCGGCGGTGAAGTGGGGTTATCTTTGTGAGGCCGGTTGAGAGACAATAGGAACCTCTGTCCAATTTGGGGAGGGGGAGATGGAGAGGAGGCGGGCGAAAGGTAGCCATGGAGACAGCCGCCCCACTCTGGAAGAGTATGGGGAAGGTGGAGGGCTTCTCCCCGTTTGGCGGTGATGAGAGGAGACTTAGGCCAACGCTGGGGCGGAGAGGGGCGCATTGGGAGGTCTTTCTGGCTTGGCAGGCTGGAAGGATGATGGTTGTGTGCCTCTGCTTGGGAAGGCTGCTTGCTTGCATGGTGTTGGGGGACGAGATATGGGCATGTCTCCCAGCCTGAGGGATGTGCCCTCTGGGCGTTTGCAAGCAATGGGTGGGGAGGCAGGCTTCCCGTGGCTAGCTCCGGACTCTCTTCCCATGTCCAGAGGAAATCTCTCCGAGAACGTTGGCTCATGGATGGGGCGGCTGAAGGGCCAGAGCGGCCGGAGGACCTGGCCTCCAAGGACCCACAGTCGCCTGAGGGACAGGCCCAGGCTCGAATTCGTAACCTGGAAGACAGCTTGTTTTCGTGAGTCGGGAATGCCTGCTTTTGAGCCATGCCCCAGCCTTTGACAGCCTTCAGAAATGGAGCAGGTTTAGTCCGGCCCCGCTTCCAGCAGCCCCCCTCTCTCCCTCAGACTCCAGTCACAGCTGCAGTTGTTGCAAAGTGCGTCCACAGGTGCCCAACACAGACCTGCTGGCAGGCCCTCCTGGCGCAGAGAGGTGAGCAGGGGCTGGAAGGGGTGGAGAGGAGGGGGTGTGGCCAGCAGCGTTAGACCGGGACTCAGCAGAGGTGTGCTCTCTCAAATGCAGCCTCTGCCTTGGTGTGCAGTCAAATCTATTCACGGTTACTTTGCTGTGTTCTGTGCAGGTTGATTTTTCTTGTCTAGACCTTAGTTTCCTTATCCCTAAAACGGGAACACCAACTAAGAAGTGCCTTTGGGGGGCCAGTGAAGTTATAATTTAGAACTCACTGTCTTCCTGCTTCAGCTTTGCCAGTGGCAGGGTTACAGGCGTCCACCACCATGCCTTGATCACAAAGGGAGTTTGTGTGCGTGCAGATGTGAGCAGCTGCCCCAGGCCTTTCTTCATCTCTCCCTGTCACTCCATGCTGTCACACTGCCTCTTTCCTATTCCCTTTCCGTGTCTAGATCACGGGGCAGTGCTGTTCCTGTTCCTTAGCCTGGAACAACGGTCTCCAACTCAGCACTCTGGACAGAGCATACCCCACCCTGCACGCCTCCAGAAGCCACGCCCAGGCTTGTCTCTACAGGAAACACTGTCACCCCCTACACCCCCGACCTCTCCCGGCTTCTTCCCATCGCTGCTTCTTCCTCTCCCCCTTCCAGTGTGCAAACACTGTGTATTTATTGGTTGTTCTGTTTATCACTTCCCTCTTCCCGTCTGATCGCATCAGGTCTTTTCAGGCTGGGGATATGGCTCAGCTGTACTACGCTGGCCTTGTGTGGACCAGGGCCCTGGTTCCACACCAGCACTTCCTCCCTCCCCCCAAATCCTTTGTCTAGGACAACCTCAGAAGCTGGCCAAGGAAGCGTTAACATAGCATTGGTTAAGCAGGTAGAGCAAAAACATACCTGGGCGGTAGAAACCGAGGCCGTTTGACCTTGTCTCTATTGCATTTGCAGGGGCCCCGCCCTCTCTCTCAGCCCACCATGGAGGCATGTCCTGCAGGCAAGTATTGGAATCCCAAGGTCTGGGGTACAGTCACCACCAGTTCACTTGACCCAAAAGAATCTGTGGTGAGGGTCCTCTTCGTCCCCCATCGTCCTGACCACTCTGCCCTCCCCTCCTTTGATTCCCCCAGGCCTCACTGATGTGGACAAGAGAACTTCCCTGCCAGCTGGTCCAGTGGGCATGTCCCCTGAGTCCCCCTCTGATCCCAGGAAGGAGCTCATTGAGGTTCTGCCAGCCTTGAGGCCATCCCCTGAGGCCACAGAGGCCTCTCCAGAAGCCAACGGCCCCTGCCCCGAGCATAGCCCCCTCCCAGAGCAGCTGAGCCTAGGGGCAGCGAGTGTCACTAAGGCCAAAGGAGATGGGGTGGTAGAGGTGGACTGGGCTGGGCTTCGGGCCACTGAGAACAGTGCCACAGACCCCACGGGCATGGAGCTGGAGGCTAAGGTGGAAGAGGTGGTCCTCGAGGCCATCGGGGCTAGGCAGGGCACCAGCAGCCCTGAGCTCCCCACTTGGGTGAAGGAGAGCAGGGGTGTGGTGGAAGTGGTCTGGGAGGGGCTGGGAGGCAGTGATCCTGATGTCACAGGGGAGTCAGGCAGGAATGCAGAGGCCACACAAATCAGTTCCCCAAGGCTCCAGGAGCAGGTTGAGGCAGAAATTTCCAGGAAAGAGGAAGGTGCTTCTAGAGATAGTCCTGAGGGTGCTGGGCAGGGGGACCCTGGAGGAGAGGAGGGGTCCTTCATTTGGGTGGAGAGAGCAGCCCTCAGTGAAGACTGGGAGGAGCTCTTGATGGAGGGCTTAGAAGCACCCCCAGGGGCCGGCTGTGTGGGAGGACGCGAGGCTTTGATGGGAGCACAGCCCAGAGGGAGTGAAGAGTCCTGGGAGGTGGAGAGGAGAGAAGTGGAGAAATCAGAGGGCATGGAAGAGAGGGCAATGGCAGAAAAGCTTGGGGCAGAGCGGGGTGGGGCTGCTGAGGTGCCAGAGCCAGCCCAGGGAAGAGAGGAAAGCCAGGCAGAAAAGGGGGATAAAGGCAGCCAGGGCCCTTTGCAGGCTGAGAGAGCAGCAGAGGAGGAACAGTGGGCAGTGAAAGGGAAGGAGAGTGAAGAGGCACTGGAAGTGAAAACAGGAGGTGAGGAAGAGCCAGACACCACGGAGAAGCCACTGGCGGCAGAGAAAAAAACAGAGGGCCCACTGGAGCCAGAGAGAAAAGGAAGTGAGCCGCCATCAGCGGAGGAGAGAGACGGCGGAAGCTCCTTGGACAGGGAGTCAAAAACAAGCGAGGAACTATTGGAAGGAGAGCCAGGAGGCGAGAGCTCATTGGATGAAGAAACTAAAGGAAGCGAGAAACTATTGGAAGGAGAGCCAGGAGGCGAGGAACAATTAGCAGAGGCAGAGAAGACCCCAGGCGCCAAGGAGGAGGTGAGTCCAGGAGAGCAAGGCAGATCCAATGAAGGAGCAGGGTTTCGGGTGGAGGACGCCAGCCAGCCAGGGACCCCTCTTTGTGTCCAGGAGGAGCCCACGTCAGAGGAGCAAGGACTGCAGGGCCTGGAGAAGCAAGAAGGACCAGTGGAAGAGACAGCCAGGGAGCCTCAGCCCTGTGCTGAGAGTGAGGATCCTCCCGGGGATGCCACCCCCCTCTTGTCAGAGACCCCAGCCCCGGAGCAGCCTGTGGAAGGCCAGGCACTGCTCCATCAGGAGGTGTCCAGCACCAACCCTGGTGACCACCCTGCACCTACCTATGCACCTGCCCGGCAGCTTGAGGTAGCTGAGGCCAAAGAGGCTGGTGGCCCTAAGCAAAAGACGTGCCAGTGTTGTGTGGTCATGTGAGCCGACACCTGCCGCCCAGCACCCTTTTCCTCTCACAGCTACCTCGCTGCCTGGCATCCAGCAGAAGGTCCCAGGCACAGACAGGGTACCATAGGACTGGCAGTGGTACCCAGGAGCCAGCAGCCCCTGTGTTTATTCACACCTGGGCTTTTAGATTCCCTGCCCACTGCCCGTGGCCCTGACTCCCTTCTGCAATGAAGCCTTTATACTTGAAAATTAAATGTTAAGGCAATCTGGCAGTCTGTGTGTCTTTTTTTGTTTTGGTTTGGTTTTGGTTTTGGTTTTTCAAGGCAGGGTTTCTTTGTGTAGCCCTAGCTGTCCTGGAACTCACTCTGTAGACCAGGCTAGCCTTGAACTCAGAGATCCATCTGCCTCTGCCTCCCAATTGCTGGGATTAAAGGCGTGTGCCACCACTGCCTGGCTTATTTATTTTTATATTATGTGAGTGTTTTGCCCGGGCGTAAGTAACCATGTGTATGCAGTGCTCACTAAGGCCACAAGAGGGCGTTGGGTTCCCTAGAATGAGTTGTAGGTGATTCTGAGCTACCCTGTGAGTGCTGGGAACTGAACCTGGGTCCTCTGCAAGGGCAGGGAACCAGGCTGTGGTCTTCTGTGTGAAAACAAGGGCTCCCAACTGCTCAGCCGTCTCTCTAGGCCCTGGAATGTGCCTTTTGACATGGAATCACCTCCTTATTTGCTCCTCGGAAGTCGATCTTACTAGCAGCAAAGGCTGTGGCTGGGTGAGATGACGACACACACTTATGATCCCAGCACTGGGGATGCAGCAGCAGGGGGATCACAGGCTTGAGACCAGCCTTGGTTACATATCAAGACTCTGACACAGTAAAGAAAACAACAACAAAAGGGTTGGGCCAGTGAGAATATTAATTCTTCCACAGCAACAAAAAGATGTCAATGGTGCAGAAGCCAGAAACCACAGTCGGTTGGGCATGGCGGCACAGCCTTTAATTTCCGCTCTTGGGAGGCAGAACCAGGTGAATCTCTGTGAGTTCCAGGCCAGCCAAGGCTACGTCGTGAGATCCTGCCTCAAAAAACTAAAAATAAAAAAGTCTAACCCAAGATAGGGACACAGGCTAGAACCTGGGGGCTGGAGGCCCGAGGCCCAGCTCCTCTGGTGTGGGTAGGAAGTGTTTCTCATACCCAGAGTGAAGAGGGGCAGAGGCTGGAGGGGACTCAATAATGGGCTCTAGCTCCATTTCCTCCACTTCCAGGATGGGTCCGTCTTTGGGTGGCTGGGGCAGGCTCACCTCCTGGGGAGACGGAGGCTGGGAACTCAGTAGTCCTGCCCTCCCACCTGCCCCAGCATCCTCCAGTGGGAGAGTGGTGTCCCCACAGTTAGCGTTTTCTCACCTTTATGTAAGGCTGCCCAGAATTGCTGTTGGCAGGGTCAGGAACCCTCTCCCAGATCCACTGGGGAATCAACTTGTGTCGCTGGCGGGGGCACCTGGCCAGCAGGGACCCAGTGGCAAACATGTTGCTAGAATCCATGAACTTCCTGAGCCCCAAGGCCACCCATCCAAGGCCTAGCTGCTGAACCCCCACCAGGGTAGAGATCCCATATCTGACGGTCTTACCTGGAGGTGGCCAGGCTCAGGCCACAGCCCATCAGGATCAAGCCCCACAGGGACAGGACCCAAGGCAGAATCTTCCACATGACCCCATTATCTGTGGGTGGGGAGAACAGGTAGGACTACACAGCCATCTTGAACAAGGGGTCTGGGCATGGGTGGGGCTGAAGGGGCAGCCATCATGAAGAAGAGGCATAGGGGTGTGCTGACAGGCACAGTCAGGGTTGGGGAGATGCTGTTCCAGATATATATTGCTGGATAATACAACAGCATTTAGAAGAAGCAAAGTGTCCTGAGGTAGACTTGGGGTGTGGTCCTGGGTTCCATCCTCAGGACTATCCTATACATATCCTATACATATCCTCTCCATTAGAAGGCTCTCCACCATTGAAACCCACGTTAGGACTTCAAGACACCCCTAACCTGGAGTGGGCAGGCAGCCCCATCCCCACCTCATACCTGGTAGGTGAAGCCAAAGGCTGGGACCCGGTGGGCCCTGTCCTGCAACAGTGGACACCATCACCCACAGCTCGAAGGAACCCCAGTGAAGGCTGGGCAGAGTGACCGTCTGGGTATTACAACTCACTGAAGGACAGGAGCAGAGGAGTTGGGGGAGCAATAATCATGCCCTGGGGCCTTTGCACACAACCCTTCCTCCGTGCGACTTTCCACATGGCTCTGTCTCAGTTTTCTTTATTTATTTACATGACATTCTATTATTTTCTGGGGGGCTTGCCCATAAGCATGCCATGGCACACATGAGGAGGTCAGGGGTCATTTCTCACCACCCATTCCACCATAGGAGTCTTGGGCTTCGTGGTAGGGGCCATCTCATAGCTCCTGGTCTGTAAATTTTGTCCAGTGTCACACTTCCTTAACCAATCTTCTGACCCCTCATTTAAAATGGACCCTCATTTTGGGCACAGCTCTAACCGTCACGTGGCTGATTAGATGCTAGCTCAGTTGTCTATGCCTGTGAATCTCCCACCGGGAAGTCAGCTGCCTGAGTGCTGCCTCCCATGCACAAGGCCCTGAGTTTGAACCCCAGCCCTGAGGAGGGAAGGGGATTGTCAAGGGCACGGAAGTGTGCCCCGTCATTCCAGTTTCTCAGAATGCAATTTCCAGGTCGGGTTGAGATCAAGTGAGACCCTGTCTCCACAAACAAAAAATTCAAGTTTCCCAGACCCACTGTAACCACGTGTGCACAGTATTCGAGAAAGCTGCACTTTCTGAATGGGGAGCAAGAGGAGGTACTGATGTCCCTGAAGTGTCCCCATGGTGACTCAGTTACTATTTACTCAGTCTCTGTGTGTGATGGCATAAGTGTGGAGGTCATGTGGGAGTTGGTTCTCTCCTTTGACCATGTGAGTTCCGGGGATTGAACTCAGGCCCATCAGACTCAATGGCAGGAGTATTAATTTGGTGAGTCATTTCACAGGCCTGTGAGGCAGAATTTGTAACAAGTTCAGATAACTTCTATGGTTAGGAAGAAAAGAATAATGGTTTTGTTTCTTCAGTGATGGGGATAAAACCGAGGGCCTTGTACCTGCTGAACACTTGCTCTACTGCTGAGCCACACTCCAGACCCTCACTGGGGATTCTAGACAGGAGCGCTATGCTGAGGTACTACCCCAAGCCAATAACAATACTTTTATAAAGGAATCTGCTCTTTTAGATTTTTTTCTTATGGGTATGGGTGTTTAGCCATGCAGTACTCCATGCAGTACCCATGGAGACCTGAAGAGGGCACCAGAGCCTCTGAGACTGGAGGACAGAGACTGCAGCTATGTAGGTGCTGGGAACCGAACCCAGGACCTCTGCAAGAGCAGTCAGAGCTCTTAACTGTTGAACCTTTCTCCAGCCTCAGGAATTTGTTATTACAGTAAAATATCTCAAGGGTAGCACAAGGAAATAAAAATCACAAGCAGTCCTACAAGCCCTGTTAACACTGAGAGAAATTTCTCTTGACATGTCTGAGCCTTGGTTTTGCTCAGTGCTTTTTATCAAAAACAAAGCCATCTCAGAAGCTGTGATCCTTTTTATACTTTTCACTTAATGAAATATGACAGACTGGAGCCTTCACCTTTAGTGTCTCGGTAAGCCTTTCAGCAGTAGCCAAGACTGTTATTGTCCTCTGGGAACTTGGTGACATAGAATTCCCAGGTGCGGAGAAGGTAGGGACAGGGTAGATGACAGGTGGAGCTTTGGGGATAGAGGAAGGGACAGGAGGCAGGAAGCTCACCATTCATGCAGACGGTGGGGAGATCTCTGCCCTGTATGCACAAGGTATAGTGAGTGGCCTGGCCTCGGAGCTGGTGTCTTGGTACCTCTCCCCATGCCACAGCAGGTGTCCCTGAGGGGTCATCCTGGAGTCGCCAAACTGCTGGCCCAGCAAGGGGTACTGTGAAGAAACCCAGTGTGTCAGTATCTAGTGCAGTTCGTGAAGCCCGGCCGCACCCTCCAGTGACACTCCTTACCTAACTCCTCTGTGAATCCCCAAACTGAGGGTGCAGCAGCTAACCCCTCTGGGAAGGCTGCAGTCACTGTAATTCGATAGGGGACCCCTCCTTCGAAATCCCCTGGAGGGAACAGGAAGAAGAGAACATTTACAGCTGGCTCTCCCTCCCCAGGGCAGAGCTCACTTACAGGAGCTGTCATTTGGGCCCCTGGGGGAGGCTGTTCCACAAAGCGCAGCCAGATGAGACCCGAGACTGAAGGGAGAGAAAGCAAGCTGTAAACAGCACAGGCAGGGACAAGCCCCAGCTGTGTGCAGTGACTTGAACCTGTGGCACTCTGAGGCTGGACTGCACAGAGAGACCCTGCCTCCAAAACTAAAGAGCAGGGCTGAGGGTGTGACTCAGTTGGTAGAGTGCCTGCCTGGCTTGCACAAAGCCCGACTGAGGTCCTCAATAAAAGCGATATGTCTCTTGATCACTGAGCCGTCTCTCCAGACTCTTTATTTTTCATACAGGGTCATACTATATAGTCCTGGCCAGCCTTGAACTCACAGAGACCTGTCTACCTCTGCCCCCTGAGTGCCAGGATTAAAGGCACTGGTGTAGGGCCACATGCCTGTCATCCCATCACTTGAGGGGTGGAAACAGGAGGGGCAGAAGTTCAAGAGCATCATTGGCTAGTGAATTCAAGCACCCTGGGATACAGGAGAGTATTGGAGGGGAGGGTAAAAGAATAGAGTGAAAACTAAAATAATATCTGGGTGTAGTTATACACACCTTTAATCTAAGCCAACCTGGTCTACACAGGGAGTTCCAGCCAGGCAGGGCTGCACAGTGAGACACTGTTTCAAAACTGAAAACGGGATTAAAGGGCTGGAGAGGTGGCTCTGTGCTTAAGAGCACTGGCTGCTCTTCTAGAGGACACAGGTTCAGTTCCCAGCACCCACATGGCAGCCACAACCATCTGTATGTCCAGTTCAGGGGGATCTAGATCCTTTTTCTGGTCTCCATGGGTACTGTTCACACTTGGAAAATATTTTCATTCAGGCAAAGCACCCATATGCATAAATAATAATTTTTTTTTTTTGGTTTTTCGAGACAGGGTTTCTCTGTGTAGCTTTGCGCCTTTCCAGGAACTCACTTGGTAGTCCAGGCTGGCCTCGAACTCACAGAGATCCGCCTGGCTC